GGGAGGAGGAGGGAGGAGGGAGGAGGAGGGAGGAGGGAGGAGGGGACAGGTATTTGTATACACAAGGAGTACAATGTGCACTACCCGAAGGATGGACATATTTGAAACACGGACTTGGGGGGGGCGGAACCAAGGGCAACACAGTAACCTAAACATCTATACCCCCATAATATGCTGAAATAAAAAAAAAACAAAAACAGCTCTCTTGCCAATTTATACAAGTTTCATGTAGGGAAGCAAGTTACTATCATGGGGCTTAAAAATTCTCCACTATCGGCCACCCTGTGATGTAATTTCACCTCATCCAGATGCTTGGTGTGGCCTTTAGGCAATAGGAAAAAAAAGTCAAGCAACCAAGCAAGTTTTGATATTGCGTCCTAGGGTAATAGGACACAGTTCTTGACGTCGGGTAGCTGAGCAGATCATTATTAAGCCCAATGCAGAGAAGTCATGGGTTTTCCTGAATTGTTAACAATTAAATCCTGCTACCATAAAATCTTATTCCTTTTTTTCTCAAATAAATAAAACAATATTTTTAAAAATAATGCAACCTTTAAAGAAAGGTCTTATTCTGTTAATCTTTGGATTTCACAACCTTCAAGGCCTAAGTCTCTTAAAACATCATTCATTCCAATCCCACAATAAAAATGAAATTTCCTTTTCCTAATTATTATTTTAGACTCTTGTAAGGTAAAATGGGATAAAAACAAAAAAGACTACCTTCCCACCTAATAAGTTATTTTACAGCTCCTGGTAAGAAAACTCCCATCTTCCTTAGCTGCAGCACTCCAAGTACATCAACGTGGGATTATATTTTTAGATGGAAATGATGACTTGAAATGCTTTTGTCTTGAGAAGTAGACTATTTGCACTGGAAACTTTTAGATATACTGTACTAGAATGCCTGTCTCCCCTGTATGTTTCCAGCCTCTTCCCCACATGCCCTCGCCCTGCCTGAAAAAACTCCAACTGTGGTGCAGTGACAGTCTGCAGCTCCACTGTGGTCTTACCCTACGTTCAGTCCTTCCCAGTGACAGCCATTGATCCAGGGGTGTTCTCCAGTTCGATGATACAGGATGCATTAATTTTCTCCTCCTGTTTTTTCCCACTCTGCTATGGGTAACCAGTTTAAGGAGCTGTCCACTTGACTGGTACGTCAGGGTGCTGACTGCTGTGCTTGCTTTTCTCAACTCACCCAGTAGCCAGTCTCTTGAGTTCAGCAAGCTGTAGCGGCTACGCCCCTGCCCCCAGCCTTCCCCTTGACTCATCATGCAGGCCTGATTTTATTCTTCATTGGACTCCTGCATAATTTCCATCACCATCAAGAGCCTTTGTACTAACAAATGTTTAACTCCAGAATAACAAGATACAGCGCAGTAATAAAGGACTGGTGATCTGGGAGCTTGTGTGAGAGGATTCTGAGGAAGTTTTATCTGAATCTCCCTAAGTTATTCTCATTCCCACATAAAATAGAACCTGATCCAATTCTGTGAGTCACCTGTCTTGAGATTCTGAATATTTTCCAACTCCTATCTATAGATAGAAAAGCCTAGAAGGAAAAAAACACACAAAAAAAAGTCCAGGGGAAAAATTTTCCTGTTCTTCACTCCACTTTTGCTCACTTCCCCTCAACTTTCAGCACCAACACACCCAAATAAGTTTTTTTTAAGAAGGACAAAGAGAAAAACATTTCCTTGAAATTGTTTGCATTTTCTACAAGGTTTTACATTCCTATTCCTACCCAGGGTACTTAAAATGTGACAGATGGTGTTTCCTATAACACTCATTTACTTTTTTTAAAAAGTAAATGAAAACTGTGTGAAATTTTCACTATGAAGGACATGAAAGTCAGACTCCAAAGAGGAAGCACTTCATCGTACTATTTCTCCTTTCCGTAGATGTGGCGCACTGCACGTGGGAGATCACATCCTGTCCATCGACGGAACCAGCATGGAGTACTGTACCTTAGCGGAAGCAACCCAGTTCCTGGCGAACACCACCGACCAGGTCAAGCTTGAGATTCTCCCCCACCATCAGACCCGCCTGGCCCTGAAGGGACCTGACCACGGTGAGATGATCCATCCGGATAAATTTCTTTATCTTGCCCCTGCGGTTGTTGCCTCCCCCAGCATATTCAAAAGGCAGAAAGACATTATGTTTAATTCTTCCTTTATTATTTCTTTCCAAAACAAGGTTACCTTTAATGCTAATTCATCTTCCAAATCCTTTTTTCCAAGCCACACATAATTTACTTGGAACTCCAAAATTGAGGAGAGAAACATTGTTTGAAATAGAATTTTCAGGGTAGTACTATCGATTTTCTTTTTTTTAAGTCTTTGGTGCAATCTGAATGTGGAGAGAAGGGAAATCATTTGACTTCCTGGTATTCATGTTGAATATCCAATCTATATGAAGGTTAAGAAGGTAAATAGTAAAACTCCCACTCTTTTTAAACAAAGTGGATATTAATAACAGAACCTTCAAATATTTGGCAGGGCAGGGGAATCAGTTGTATGAAGGGTTGACTTTCTATATATATTATCTGTTTGCCGGAGTAGTTTTTTACCTAGGATAGACAACAACCTTTCTGACCAAACATCTTGCCTGGGACAATCACAATATTTGACTCCATTTATTCAATAAAAGTGTCAGCTGAGGGAATCAGCATTTTCATTGCCTTGAAGTTCACAGATAAGTTTGCTGAGTATTTACAGACCATCCACCTCGGCATCTTTAAACAAAACCCGGTACAAGAAAGAGGACTTTGAGCCCAAAATCAAATGAAATTGGGCTTTCCCAGTGGGGTCTTTGTTCTAACTCCTTCTCTCACCTGTTCCTTAAATCAAATACCTTTTTTTTTTTTAATTCCTTGAAATTAAGGGCCTCCCTAGTGTTGTCAGGGTGGCCTGAAGACCTGAATACATTTCCATGTGTTTAGAGACAGTGCAATTTTCTCAGGAATTGAAATTTTGCTTGTGAGGAGGTCATTTATATTATGTTTTCCATCTTCTGAAACACACTGCACTTCTCCACAATTTGGAATAAAAAAAAAAAAGAGGAACTAGATAATTTTCATACTGAATGAGTCAGCTAGATGCAACCTTTTTAATTAAATGGAGCTTAGACAGCCCTGAAGCTAATGAAAATCTCTAGTACAACATCACCCTTATCAGATTTTAATTTTACACATTGGAACAGAGAAATAATGTGGCATAGGCAGGTTATGGAAAGAAAATCAGCATTGCAGTATTTGAATGGAAATGCTAAGGAGCTCTAGGAAGGTTCAGTTCGTGGGAATGCACATGGTTCCTCTCAGGTGGCCTGTGGGCCTTTCCTGCACCCAGGCTGACAGAAGAGATTTCTGAAATGGTTTAAGTTTCTTTAAATTAATCAGAAGTCATCACTGGATTTGAAGCTCAGTAGGTATAAGTATGCACACTATGGAGTGCTCTTTCAGCGTGGGATTTTGCTTGCTAAATTCTGGTATCAGCGAAATGCAAATGTGTAACAGACCCTTTTAAAATGTTATTGTCTTTAGCAACCTCATTTATTTTCCATTAATTTGTCTTGTATACAAATCATAAATAATTCAAATAGTTTCCAAGTCATGAAATATTAAATGTTTTTACCTGCCAAGACAATCTGAAAAGATTAATTTATATGCTAAAATGTATGGACCAAGAACAAATTTTTTGTCTTTACTGTGGTAACCTGATGTCATTTGTATGGGGAGTAGGAAGCTGATAGTTTAAGTAATTCTAGCATCCACTGCTGACCCATCATCTACGTTTGCTAAAAGTTGTTCACGATCTTCCCTATCTAGCATACAGGCATTTCTGCTACATTTCACATTAAACTCAGACTTGCATTTTCAAGAGGAAATAAATATTGGCCCCTACACATAATTAAATCACAGTAAAGAAGGAAAAAAATACAAAAAAAATGTTTATCATGTTTATAATTCTCAACCTTCTATTTTTATATTAATGGAGTTTCACATAGTTTTACCCTTTATCCACAAGAAAGTTCTGGTTATTTTTTCAAGATCTCTGATGCCTGAACCAGTGTGTCTCTCATCTTTTGGGAGAGAGATACAGAATTTCCCAAATTTTGTTGGCAGCAAAGTGTTTTCAGGGCTGTGTAGAAATGAATCTATCAACTCCAAATAAGAGATTAGCTGTGCTTTTCACTGGTAAACAGCAGCATTAAAGAAGCTGACAAAAATGAGTTTTCGATGAGGTTAGAAATTGTTCCCACTGAGGGCCTTTAGGGGACATAATCGTGACTGAAGTAAACTGAGATTTTGGAAAAGAAAATGTGACCAGAGTCACCAGGTTTGATACATCCAGAACCAGGAGAAGCTTCCATTTTGGGGAGTTTCAGGGGCAGCCACTGGAGCAGCTGTTGCCTGCTCTCTGGAACATCCCAAGCAGGGCAAGAGGATGCAATTAGAGAGGAGAACAAAGAAAAGTCACTTCTGTGCCATATACCTCTTAAGACTGCAGCAGTGATGTCGCCATGGAATGATACAGAAAAACATTCTATTTTAAATTTCCTGTTCACTTATCCATAATGAGGGACTTAGGGGTACCCATAGGAAGAGGCGTAGAGTTTGGTGGCTAGAGTAGAAACTCTAAAATCACACTTTTGGGCTTCAACTCTGTCTCAACCACTTGGTACAAAAAGCAAGGTACCCAACTTTTCTATACCTCAGTTTCTTCATCTGTAAAATGGGGTTTAGGATAATACCTGCCTCACTGGAATATCGCAAGCATTATCTGAGATAATTCCATGAAAAAGCACCCAGCACAGTGCCTGTTATATAAGCACCCAGTGAAAATAGGCTGCTGTTATTGACACTATTAAATGAGAGAATGTCTACGAATGCTTTTTGCAAAATGAAAGAGCATGCCAAAAATGTAACATGTTACCATTAAACTCATGAAATACTTGCCTAATATATGAGTATAAAGTACACTACTATAAACCATCACATTCCAATAGCTGTGAAATGTACATTCAAAATAGGTAGTAGCTCTCTCCTCTGACCTACATTATTTGTTGAACACATTTTGCATTCATTATCCATTGCATACAATTTTGTGCATTATCTTATATAATTTTTGTCTCTTAATTATTTTGTATGTATGAAGATTTAGTCCCCAGTAATAGCTCAAATTCAAGGTAAAGGCTATGACCTACATTTAACCTGCCCGCAACAATTGGCCCAGTGCTGGGTAACCAATAGATGCTAAATATATCTTCCTTATTGAACTGTTAATTGGGCTCTACAGTCCTAACAAATACCCAGTAATGTTCAAAGCACTTAATAAAGAAGTGGGTCAAAAGGTGAGTGTAGAATCTTGAAGTTCATTACCTGTACCCTGGCTTCATGAAACACAGACAATACTTTGTAAAAAGTATAAGAGAGTGGCTGTGGTTGTAGATTAGCCAGACCCAGCAATGTCTGCATCTTGCTAAAGTGTCTTCTTGTATACCCCAAAGTAGAATAAGGATGGTGAAAGAAAATCCATTAGGGACATCCCCTGCAACACTCTTTTCTTGCAAGGAAAGTGCTGCTGCAGTGTAGACATGGGCACTCTGGCTGATACTCCATTCATTACATCTGTTCATTTATTTATTTATTCATTCGTTCCGTAGTCAGTATATACTAGCAGTTTTAGTTGCTAGGATATATCCAGTGAGCAACACTTGTAGAATTTACATTCTAGTACAGAGAGACAAATAAAAATATACTAACTACATAAAGCCATTTCAGACAATCATAAGCACCATGAATAAACTATAACACAGTAGTGGGATGGCATGGGTGAGGGCGGCTACCTCAGCCAGGGAAATCAGCAAGGACATCTCTGAGGAGGTGGCACCTGAGCTGAGACCCGAATGGTGAGAAGTAGCCCGCCGCACAAACAACTGGGGAGAGAACAGCAGGTGCAAAGGGCCCGAGTGAGGCAGGACAGAGCCTAGCTGGTTCTAAGAACAGACGTAAGATCAGTGTGGCTAAAACACATGAATGATGGGGAGAGTGGTAGGGATGACGCTAGGAAGGTAAGTAGGGGCTGCGTTTGACTGTCTTTGTAATGGCGAGCTGTTGGGGCAGGAGTGACTTGATCTAATTTATGAATGCGAAAGATCTCCCTGGCTATGCTGTGGAAGATGAATGCAGGGGATGAATCAGGGAGCCACGTCCGAAGCTGCAGCAGGGGTCTAGATGAAGGAGATAGTGGCTCAAATGAGGATAGTGGGGAAGGAGAGGGAATCACCAGAAATGGCAGTGGGATGGAAGGAGCAGGCCAGATGGTTTAGGGCTACAGAATTACGGTGGCTACAAAGTATTCTTCTGCACATTTCTGAGAAAGTCTCTAAAACTTAACTGTCCAATGAGTGAAATTTGTTGAGTGAGAGATACATTTATTTCCTTTACAAGGTACTTTATTGTTGGCAAATAGGTAGAAAAGTAGGCAGAATCAATATCATTACTCATCGCTTATCTGTTTTTATTCTGTATACCAGGCCCATGCTAAGAATCTTATGTGCATAATTCTCGCAGTAGTCCTGTGGGGTAGACGCTTTCATGATCTCCATTTGACACAGGAGGGAACTGAGATTCCGAGGGGCTGAGAGGCTGGCCAAGGAAGGGCTACAGGCAGAACTGAAACGAGGTCTGCCTCACCCTGGAGTGATCTGTCCCTGCTAGTGCTTTTGTTTCGTGTATTATCTCATTCCAGAAAGAATGTGGAGTGACCCATGAAGCTGATACCAGAGATGATACAACTTAAGCTCTTTTCTAAATGACCCTCCTTTAAATACATAGAGTATTCAGCCTCTCTACGTGAATAATTACTGTTAAATAATTCACCTGTACGATAGCTAACACCAGAATCACATAAGAAGGAGATATAAATTCATGTTATTTTGAGCTCTTTAAAGTTATTGATCATATCAGACATAGTAACAAACACTATATTGCTCATACTTCAGAACATTGCGTAGAAAATCAAATCTTAACATTGAAACCGGAAGGGAAACATGATAAACATTTTCTAA